TCACAAAACACACATTGAGGTTTTTCTCTGCGTGATCCTTTATTTATTCAAACTCTTGTGAGCAGCGAGAAGAAGAGCGAGATGTGTTGGGTGACAGAGAGGAGGGGGAGGAGGAGCAGAGCGGAGGCTTTACCTGGACCCTGGGCCCCGGAGGAGGCCATGGAGGAGGCCAGCAGCAGCGCCAGGAGCGCAGCGGCCGCCGGAGACGCTCCGCTCTTCATCTTCAGCTCTGCGGCTCAGTGGCTCATGAAGAAGCTACGAGGCGGAACGCAGCAGGAGGTTAAACCCTTTCCTCTCTCTCCTTAGACATCAGCAAACATCTGCAAACATCTGCCCCGTGGCAGCCTCGGGGCTTCACGAGACCCCCGAGGACACCTGCCCCGTGGAAACCATATAGACATATTTCCAACTATTGTAGAATGTACATTAACAAATAAAGTATAAAAGTCATAAACTTAAGAGCTTTAAGCAAGAATAACGAGGATTTTAACACACTTTGAATTTGCAAAATTGTCTCCTGTTTTCCTTCTGAAGGAAATGTAACTCTGCTGCAATTACACCCCAAAGTTTGGCGTCTTAAGAGTGCTGATGAGGTAACGTTGCGCCCGCTGTAACGGACACAGTCTTCTTCCCAGAGCGCCAAATCGCCGGCGTCGTGCGCAATTACGCAGCGCAAAGCCAAAGTAAGCGTCCGCGCGTGACTTGTGCCTGGTGACTGAAATATGAGGAAACCCGACGTGTGGCAGTAACGCATCTTGTAAAACCAACTAAACTATTAAAGTAATAATTCACCTCTGAGGGAGACGCGAAGAAGCAGCAGCCGGATGTCTTTGGGTTTGTCTCCAGAGATGAGTGAGGGGATCGGGGTCCACTGGAGGTCCGGGGAGCTTTTCCTTTTTTTTTTTCCTCCGCTGGTTCCCGGACGCGTCGGCGAGCCTCTTTCCAAGTGGGAAAACTCTCCGAGCGACGCGCTACTTAACAGGGGGGCAGATCCCAGCCGAGCTGTAACCACAGCCCCAAAAACCATGTGCAACCTCCGAGAAAAACACGCACACTCGCGCGCGCACAGTCGGAAACTTTTACATAGTTGTGTGCATTCCTTTCCGGTGATGGAGGCGCTTCTGTGCGTCTGGCCACAAGGAGACAGAAGTGCACATCTGCCTTTTTTTCTGGGGGGGCTAACCCTCCTTTTCGGGAATCAATGGGAAAATATGACACAGTCTGGCAGACCTCAGGAGCCACAAGTCTTTCCCTGCTGCTCGTTCTCTGTTTGAATGAATCATTCCGGTTGTCGTCGGCGACGGAACCAAAGTGTCGCACAGAAGCAGCAGCTGCACGAAGCTTTGGATTTATGACAATAAAAAGAGGAGACGAATAGAGACAACGAGTCAGCAGAATATCTGGGACCGGGGGTCCTGTTCAGGGGCCACTCAGCCAGCAAGCTTAGCTCACACACAGTCGGTACGAAATGACATCATCGTTAGTCAGCTTCGTTTGGCCTTTGTGTGTCATCAAAGTCACAAATGATTCAAGGATTTGACTAAAAGTGATTTAAAACACAATGCACGGCCAAGTGACCACGATAGCGCCACATTAAGCAGAGCGCCAGCAAACCGGCGCTCTGCCAAACAATGGGGACACAATGACACCAAACCGTGTCATTGTGTCCCCAAATCACAAAACACAATCTAAGAAATGTGTTAAAGTGCATCAACATTAAACATGTATTAAAAGCACCTAAAAAATGTGTAATCTGAGGCTGAAAGTCTGGATGGTTAAACTCTGACTGTTGCGCCTCCTGGTGGACGAGGGCCCTCAGCCGGTTTACCCGCCATCAACCAGTCGGAGGCCCGTGAGCGAGACGCGTTTGGGCGGGACGTATTTAGGCGGGACGCGTTTGGGCGGGACACATTTGGGCGGGATGCGTTGCCGGGCGCTTGGGTTGCAGACCGATAGCGGAACAGGCCCGAGGGCGCCGGCTCTCCGGCGTAAAATTAAAACTGACAGCAGAGAAGAATTCACCTGAAATGAGAAGAAGACGACGACTCAGGAGCAGCAGAGATCGTAACGTGGACAGATTGATGCACTAAATGCTCGCATGGAGGCCAGCTTCCTCTTTGCAAACATGACAGAAAAAAAGCCTCGTTCAGAGAGGAAAAGTACATTTCTGAAGTATATGACACGTTAAAAGAGATTCTATTCTATTTGGGGATGCTTTCACATGTCTTCTCGTATGCCCTCTGCCTTAGACCAGGTGTGCTGCAGTCCCTCTAGAGTTCATGGGTGGACAGAATAGAAACACCTTCCAATAAGCCACAACCCCAATAAACCCTCGACTGCACAACTCCTGTGTAATTAGTTTGCCATGTAGAATCATAAATCTGTATTGTTTCATTCACTGTACTGTTTTAGATCTACTGGAGTTGAAGTCTTAATTATTGATCATTACATTTTCTTTTGCTTTATAATTTCATATTAAATTATTAAACGACACAAACGTGTGACTGGATGCAACAGAAGTTCATGTATTTTGAAACACGTATGTAAACAAATGAAGTGTTCAGACATGTTTTGGTCATGAGAGGTTTTTATTTAATTGATCCTCAGGTCATCAGACAGAGCGCAAGTAATAAATATTGATCCCGTGAACGTGAAACAATATCTCATGACAGGAGACACAAGGAGGGTAATCTTCATCTTTTTTACACAATATAAAGCAGCTGGCCGACGGATTCAAGTTGAAATGGAATTAAACCGCTGAGGAGGCGGAGTTATTTCTTCTGAGGGAACGCCGCCTTCACCAGCTCGTAGACGACGAATCCAGCTCCTGGAAAAAAGGATTATTAACCATTAAACTTCACTAACTATTAAAGCTAATATATGAACCATATCTTACAAAACAGTTTGTTTAAAGTATTGTTGGTTAATAAATTAATTGAAAGTGTTTTTTTACATTCCAAAAATATTTCTTATTAAAATTATTTAAAATGACAGTATTGACTGAGAATCATTTCGACAAAGTGGATACAGGATAACAAGCAGCTTCACTTAACCTAAAAAAGAAGAGTAGATGAAATATTCTGAGCTCAAGTTGAAGGAGCATGTCTTCTGATTATTTTTTATAATCTATTAGGATATATTTATAGGCCCCAAAACAGAGGCGACTGATCCAGGTGGGTCAAAGGTCACCAAGTTCCTCCCTCGGACGTCAGCTAGCTAGCTCAACCTTTAGCGGTCCGGCTGTGGACCTGAAGGCTCTCGCGTCCTCACCCAGAATGGTGAGCACCATGGTTGTTCTGTACAGGATGGCGTCCCCGGGGCCTCCTTTCAGGTGAATGGGCAGCCCGTTGTCCTCCTGCAGGGGACAAACACCTCCAGGGCGTTAGGACAGAGCCTTCACACTCCACACATCCTCCTCGTCACAAACAAACAGTTGTTGCTTGGTGAAGACAACCAGCCAGCAGAAAGACGTTTGAGCCCCGTGGTTTATTATTTTAAATGATCACTTGTACCACGAATCAGCAGGTTTTCAGGAAACTAAAATATGAATAATTTGAAGTGTGCGTGGTAAAAAAAAGAATACATTACTGGGAAAAGTTAATTAATAACAGATTCAAAAGGACTTTAACACTGTTCTCCTCATTTGTAATGAGATAAATAAATACCCCTACAAGACACTTCCTGAGTAATCACACAAGGAAACATTTCTTGTAAATCAATATTCAACATTAGTTAGAAGCACAAAGTAGGATGAAAATAAAAGATACAATATGTGCTTGGTTTCATCTCAGGTCACTTAATAAGGGATGTTTTATGTTAAAGTAGCCTCATAGAGCGGTTTATGTGCGTTTTAAATCACATGGTTATTTTACCTGGAACATCTTCTGTTTCTGCGGCACTTTGTTCTCGACCTGCCTACGTGCGCAGCTGGAGAAGGTCCTCCGCGCCACCTGGTGGAGAGCCTGGGGACAACAGGGGGCCATGACGTCAGCACGCAAGAGGACGCGGGCTTTACGCAACGAAACCGCCTTTAAATAGTTACGTTAGGTGTACTTTTACATAACGCTGTAGGCATGTTAACGATTACAAAGATGAGATTACTTTAGAAAACTAGCACGGAAGCTAAGCGTCATGCTAACTCTTCCGGCGCCGGCATCTTAACGTCACCCGGCTTTGACCCTTAGCCAGGGTTGTAGCTAGCGTCAAGTAGCCGCACTTTGCTTTTCTACCCCCATGTTCTTGGTTGCACATCTACGTTATTAGTCAAATGCTATTTGTGCTGGATACACGCAACGTTTAACAGGCGAATAAACTCACAAATATGTGTCTGTTCATCTTTATAGTCCGTCCGCGGTCGCCTCTCACACAAGGACACAAGGTAACTGATTCCGCTTTCGGCTTCGCTTTCTTCTTCGCTGATATTGACTGTACTTGTGTTGCGCGCTCTGCTTCCACCTCCAGTCTTGAAGTGGAATTACATTCTTTATTTTAAACGGTTCTATTCGGTTCTATTCAATCCGTCTTTTTTTTACTGCTCCTTTAACTTTGTTTTATCTATATTTTACATATTGTATTGTTCTGGGCCTTCCTAGCAGTATTTGTTTGATCTTGTTTTTATTTGTTCTCATGTTTCATCACTTTGTTGTAAAACACTGGAAAGAAATGCATCTTTATGTATTAATCTATAGTAAGTAATACAAATAAACTCAAGTATAAGTAGAAAGTTGATTGACTTTTAAATAGCCCTTTTATTACTGGTGTTATGTTAGATTAAATATCTGATATACTTCTTCCAGTTCTGTTTATGGGATAAAACTGTGGCTACATAATGCATACAAGCTGTTAATAGAGGTAAAATTCTCCCAAGAAATGACATTTATTTACATAACATTATAAATGTCACGTGTTCTTCCTTGTATCCCTGGGAATCAATACATTATCTTATCTGATGTTAAGTAAAACATGAAATAAATAATAATAAAACGCCTCAGTCAGAGAAAGCGGTTTCAAATTTAAATGAACCATTTATTCATTTAAAGCAACAACATGAGTATAAAAAGAAATCAAGTGGTTCACTGAATTGCAGACAAATCTGGATAAAATGTACTAAAAGAATATAAAACAAATATTTTCACGGTGCACATTGAAAAGACGCAGCATCTTCTTCATCACAAAGAAGATCACAGCAGGACATTGAATCACATGTACGAGTCACATGATGCCGTGTTGATGTTCTTTTTGCATGTTAACAACTAAAGCCACGACAATGTGCACATCTCCAGCTGACTGCAACAGAACACCAAACATTTACTCAGATAAATAATAATGATACTTTGCAGACTCAGCGGAGGCTTGCTTTTAGTTTGTAGGCGGCCCGACGACATGAGGCACAAAAACGAGCTCAAGAGTCACATTTACACCTCGGCTACCCAGCATGCACCGCTCCTGCTCACGTCGACCAGCTCAGAGACAATACCCCCATAAAAGAGGCTGTCAGAATTACATACATATATGTATATGTATACATATACATAATAATATATATTACAGTGTGGTGCGGGAGGTAACATTGAACACCTTTATGCATCGTTTTTCTGTGGAGCAGTCGAAAACAACAACAACAATAGCGACCATACCACAAATGCAGAGGTTCAGTAGCATACAGCTGTTTACGATAATTATAATAACCCTAATAATATTAATATTAACATATATATTTTAGTTTAGGTATCGGATCAGTGCAGGAAGAGGCAAAGGCCTCAGAGCAGTAATGTCTGTAACTGTAGGACGTAAACGTGTCCTCAGGTGCTGCAGTTATCTCACACAGCTTATTATTATTATTATTATTATGATGATGATTAACGAAGCGCTGCCAACGCCTCAGTTGGAGATCTCGGCGCCGTTGTTCCGGTTACCACACTTGTGGTGGATGACGAGCAGCACGACGCCCAGGAAGAAGCAGACGGAGCCCACGGTGATGTAGGCGATGCCCAGGAACGGGTTCTTGCCCCCCATCCAGGAGATGGTGCTCAGGATCATCCGTTTACGGCCCTCGAAGCTGCGGACGGGGTAATCTGGTTTCAACCGGTTTAAGGCTTCTTTGTGGGTCAAAATGACACTTTTCATTTTTTTTTTTTTTCAGTGCAAAAAAAAAAAAATCGAAATGACGACAAAGTTGAGCTGCTAACGACAAAGCAAAGAATAATACATGTGTATGACTGCGTTCTGTGTGTGTGTTCGCTTGGTTTATTTACAGCTTAGCTTTTAAGATACTTTAAAATGTTTTAAGTAAAGTGACTTTAAGCATTTGGAACAGCGCTCTATAGATTAAATGTATTATATCATTAATTATGTTTAAATGGCGATTTAAAGTGTGTGCTTGTTGGAGCTATTCTGTGAGTCGGGTATCTGGAGTTGTATTATTTACTGAAGGGGTTTAAGCAGCAGGTGTGAGGTGACGTCAGGTGACGCACCTGGAGGGATGTTTGCTTTTTACCACAGTCGGAGAAATGAACACCATGAAGAGCAGAGCAGACTGTTACAAAGCGACTGAAACGGAGCCTCAGAGGCCTTTTAACGGAGGTTCTGTGAAGTTCCCATGAAAGATACTGTAGACCACCTCCAGGGTGTAGTTCCCTCGCGGCAGCGTCGGCACCATCTGGCTGCTCTTGCCGATGATGCGGTAGAGCTTGCGGAAGGTGGGCAGGGCGGCGGTCCTCATCCACACGATGAAGTCCTCGTTGACGAAGCCGTTGTTGCTCTGATCCGAGTCCAGCTCATAGACGGGCCGGCGCCAGTTCAGCGGCTTCGTCGTCCCTGAAACAGAGAGACGGTCCGAGGATGAAGAGCGCGTAGAATCCCTTTTGTAAGCGTTGCTTAAAGCCAACGACCAGCAGCCGCCGGCACCTTGAAAGACGGCCGAGAGGTTCGAGTCGACGCCGCCGGGGTTCCCGAACTTGACGTGCTTGTCGGTCCACCAGGCGATGCCGGTGGTGCCGAGGAGGATCTTAACGCTGGTGCCGTTGGGGTCGTTGTAGAACAGCTCCAGCGTGTCTGCCCGCCAACAACAAAGGAGGCGTGGTTAGAAAGACTTTGGGCCCAAGCGACGGGCCGGCCCGGAGCGGGTGGCTCACCGTTGAACATGCTGTTGGCGATGGCGCCGCACGGCGCTATGGGCTTGTTGTTATGGTAGGCGTACGGCTCGCACTCCTTACTGGGTTCCTGTGACGGAGGAGGAGGAAGGGGAAGAGGAGGAGACTGAAGGTTAACAGCACTACGTTATGGCCGGACTCAGCTGAGGTTAAAGTTTCCCAACTTTCACGCGGGCTTGTGTCTTTTATTTTGTACAAACTCCCGTTCAGCAATTTCAGAACAGCAGCCTGTGACCTTACACACGTTTCACCGCGTGTCGGTGACCTCGTCCGTACCCGCAAAGATTTGAGGTTTCCGTTCAGCTGGCTGTCGTCTCTGGACTTCACGTAGCGGCGGTGATTCTGGTAGAAGTTGGAGAGGCCGTAATACACGTAGACGTTGCTCTGTTGGTTTAAAACTGTCTGAGTGAACACTTGTGATACAGAATACTTGTATTATGATATAGAATACTTGTGATGCGAGGATTCTCACCTCGTACGGCTGCTCCAGGTAGAAGGGTACCGTGCACGTGCATGGGCTCGTGCTGTTCCAGCTGAAGTTCTGGGAGCAGTTGAAGCAGGGACTCGACGTGTCAGCCCCCGTGTAATCGATCTGTAACACAAGAACGATCACAAAATGTCAAGACGACAAAGTAAACATTTCTTTATCCGTAACAAGGCCGCAGCCACGATACAGATGAGTACAGAGAACGCGGTCACGTGCGTGTGTGGTAAGGACATGGGATCAATACTACTGATTTAGTTACTACATTAGTACTGACAGGTATTATAACCAAATTGATGACCAATGCTTCCCGTTTAGTTACCGTCAACAACAACAACAACAACTGTAAAAACGTGCACTTTAGTGTTTCCATAGAGAGGACGATGACAACGTTTTGCAAGTTAGATGTTGATTGTACTAATGAAGTTAAAGCTGAACGTCGGCCACATCCTCGCCGAATTTACCGGCCATGCACAACGATTCAGGAAATATTCATGTCACGTTACAAACTAAAAGAAGACGTCCAGATATGCAAGATTAAGCTTAAATGTCCAAGTATTGCACGGAATTCGGCGTGAGCACCCGAACACACCTCAAACTCCTTGATGTTGTTTGACGTCACGAACAGGCCGATGCCGATGGGGATGAAGAGGAGGCCGATGATGAAGAAGGCGGGCAGCACGGTGCCCGCGGTGAGGATGGGCTGCCAGGCGGGCAGCCGCTGCTGCTTGAACGCGGTGTTCTCGGGCTTCTTGCTCCGCAGCACCGCGCCGCCACCGGGCCCGGTAACGGTGATGTGTCCGTCTTCGTCTTTGGCGTTGTAGCTGGACGCCATCATTGTTTCGCCCCGCGTGAGAGCGTCGTCGTTGTTGTTGTCGCTAACTATCACCGGCCGACTTTTATCACGAAAGCGGCAGTTAGCAGAGCTGCAGCGGCCGCTCCGTCAGGAAGTTAACAAAACAAGGAAGCGACGCGGTGACGTCAATGATTTAGTGACGAGGGGGGCGGGGATGGTGCCTTCATGTGCTACGGGGAATATCGGAAATATGGCAGATCAACCGATGACCCATCGAAAAATATGTAAGGAATACTGTATATATATATATATATATATATATACTTTTTTTTTGAGAATATTCCAAAATGTGTCTTTAAATAGGTAATATGCACTGAATCTTGTCTGTCTTTAAATTCTATCCCCTGCCCGAGTACTTTTCTAGATATTCAGTCCTGTTGATATTTCCAACTGGAGGCATTAACAATATATCTTGTTTTAAACGAAATATTTACAAAGACTGGTTGTTAATGCTGAAAGTTTTTTTATGTCAGATCATCCACTGTTCAAAGTTCTGTCCGAAAAAATACAGAAAATATCATTTCAATTTAAATATTTTTTTTCATTGTTTTTTATTTTGGGGTTTTCTAAAGAAAACAAAGCGCAAATCTCCAAATTCTTAAGTGCCTTTATGTGTTTATGATCATAATATGGTGCCAACACAAATGCATTTCTTATATACACTACAAACCAACATGCCATTTACGTTTGTGCTATTTTCCATTCACATTTTTTATTATCTGTCTTTAAATTTAGACAAACACAGTTTTCAAAATTCAACAGAGAGACTAATAACAATACATCATGCTGTGTTTGTATGTTGAGTGCTGCGGAAAAAAACAGTCAAATCCCTCCTGTGTGTTTGCATACGAGGCCGATAAAGCTGATTCTAATATATGATTCTATTTGTTAACGGCAGTATATGTCAATGGTAACGCTGCATGCAACAAGTGTTTAATTGCAGCTGTAGAGCAGATTATTGATAAATCCTATCATCTATAAATTGGCAGCGCACCAGACTCCTTTAAAAAATCATTCATTTTAGTGATTCTTCACACGTCAGACCTCCGTACTGTTGAGTCAGTGGAGCTGAATCTTCCGCTTTAACTTTCTTGTGACCGCAGCGTTGTCAGGTCTGCACGCTTCCTTTGGAGCGCTGAGATGTTTCCTCAGGAGGCTCGTCATTCCGTGAGATGTAGATCCCATGTTGATGCCTTCAGGTCTCTTCTCGTGACCTCTGGGACCTCAGCTCAGTGGACCTGTGGTAGAGAATTACAGCAGGTGTGTCTCCTCGAAGGCCTCGTTGTGGTCTCATCTCCACTCAACGCACACATGTTAGTATCAGCTGTTGATGCGCTTTCACACAAATCGGGTTGTTAGTGGAGCTGTAAGGAAGCAACAATTATCTGAGAAACAATCAGTGAGAGAAAAAGAAAAAACGGTTCATGTGATCCTGCTCAGATCTGTGATTTCATTTTATATTTAATTTTATGAGAAGGTGATACAGGATGAATGTGTTTCACTGATTTCATGCTGAAAATCGGAAATCTGAAAAAAACGTTTTGAGTCGAGGTTTTCCTTCCTGATGCGTGTTTGTGAAGTCGTCCGTCAGAGGGCGCTATGATGTCATCCAATAGATCTAATAGCATAACGAGCGGTGCAAACACAGATGAGGAGAATCATCAGCATCTCAAACAATCGTTCAGAGATTAGAGCTAGGTTCTTCTTTCCTGAACCATCAAAAAACAGATTAAAACAGCATTAGGCACCAACAGGTCAAATTAGTTCACTGAAATCCCCAGAATGCATCATTTCTCAATCATTAATAATTAAAGTAATTAAAATGTCCCTGGTCATTAGCATTAGTCCATCCAGTCAACATTGACCTTGATTGATATAATCATGTTATACGAATGTGAAATGAAAGTGTGCCAATGTGCTGGGTAGCCTCAGATCACATCATAAGAAACACAAGCTATGAAGGAGTTTGTTTAGCAGCGCGGGTTAATGTTATGGAGGTTTCCTGAATCATTTCTTGAAACAAAGCTCACAAACACACCGTGAACAAATGACCACTATGAAGCATGGAGGTAAATAGCTTTTATTATTTAAGCGCCTGTCAAAAATATGATAACGTTGAGACAAACAATTCACAGTGACTGGAAACCTCCTAAAGCTGCTGGTGGAGTACAAACCCAACCTAGACGACAACAACAGCAAGAGGAAGATAATCAATTCCTGCACTTGATTATCATCATATATCTTTATAAGACTCATGCACAGAGATGCTTCATCTGGGAATTCAGAGTAACAAAAAACAAAACGAAGAAAAGAAAACCTTGCGACGACCTTTCAGTTTCAAACTGAAGGCGAACTTCATAAAACTTGGAGTCCCATTTGATGTGGCCTGTGACTTATGTGGCGTCGAGCCGTTGCCATGGCACTCCCACCCCCCTAACCCCCCTCAGCTCTTGCCTCCCGTTGCGGGAGGCGGGCCGCACGCCGCCGACCTCCTCAGCTCGATTTTCATCGATTGGCTCTCGGCCCGCGACTCTAACCTGGTCTCCGCCCTGCTGCTCGGCTTCGTACCTTTGCACACCGGGATCCGCGTGGCGGCGCTCCGGGCGGCGTGCGCCTCCAAACCGGGCTGAAGAACAAAGGAACAGCACAAGGTTACTTCAGAGAGAGGAGACGACTCCAAGTGATGGAGAATGGATCGGAGGCGAGGGGGAAGGTTAGCTCCTCTGTTAGCGTGGTTTAGCAGTTGAAACTACCGCGCCACCGAGGACACGCCCCCTGACTTCACTATGAAACATTTCAAAAGCAACTGCAGCGTAAAAGAGTCGCAAAGAAAGCAGTAAAGATCTCACCGCTGATTGCGTCGGCCTGGAGGTCGGCGAGGCGACGGGCGTGATGGTGATGCTGCTCGACATTTTGCTCTGAGTCGCCACCGCTGTCGAGGGTTGGCGCGGCGAGCGGAGCACCGTGCCCGTCGACGACTCCCTGAGGGTCTCCGAGGTCCTGAGCGTCAACACCGGCCCGCTGCAGCCCTCCGAGGGCCTCTTGAACTGCCGGCCCAGGTGGATGTGGATCTTGTTGTCCTCCGTGGTGACGATGTTGCCGTTGTACTTCCTGAAAGGTGGGGGTTGCTTCTCCGGGGTCACCTTGATGTGACCTTCGGCCACGGGCGCGCCGCTGACCGCGGTGATGGACACCGGCGCGCTGTTGGTCCGATCTAGAGTCTTGGCCCTGGAGATGGCGGTTATGGTGACCGGGGATCTGGCGCGGTCGAGACCCCCCGCCGGCTCGCAGGCTCCGCCCCCCGGGGCCTTGTTTGCGGGCTTGGGGACGATCGTGATGCGAGGCTTCTGAAGGCCGAGAGTCGGGATGATGGTGGTGCTGGAGAAGAAATCCTCGGCCCGGGGGCTGGTGATCTCCAAGGTGGCGGTGCTGTTCTGGTGATCCGGGGTCACCCGGATGTGCAGCGGTTGGCCGGAGCGGGTCATCTCGGGCGGGTGGAACAAGGACGCCCCTCCGGTCTTGTCGGGGGCGGTCTGTGTGAGCGTGATGGCCTCCTTCTTCTTCATCCAAGGAATCCAGGATCTTTTCACGCCGAGTTCTGCCGAAGCCGGAGGGTACCGCTCAAGAACCGCCGGCTTTTTAAGACCCCGCTGTCTGAGGTTGCTCATCAAGTGGTTTTCCTCCAGGACGGATTTCTGGATGAAGCCCGCCGCCGTCTCGTCCTCAGCCGCCTGGCTCGCCATCACGTCCGTCTGCACCGCGGTGGAGGTAACCGGGACGTCCAGCATCCTCTTACCGCTCACACTGGGCCTCAGCGCGCGACTGTACCGCTTGGTGGCCTCCAGCTCCTTGGTAAGATTGGCGAAGTCATGGCTCATGCTGATCTTCTTCTCTTCCTCCCGCATGAACCTCTGCTGGAGGACGGAGTAGTCCGCCTGCAGCTGGGAGAGCTGGTCCTCCTTGTTCATCAGCTCGTGGATCTTCTCCTTCAGGGCCTGGACGTCCGCCTGCAGCTCCCTGGTTTTGGCCTCCTCCATCTTGCAGCGGGTCCTGAGCTCCGCCTCTGGACTCGTGACCTCGCCCTTCTCTATGGCTTTGTTTCTGGCGATCTGACTTTTCATTTCTTCCAGCTGCTTCGAGAGGGAATTGGCTTTGTCCTGCTCCCTTCTGAATTTCTTCTCCAATAGATCATACTCATCCTCGGTCTTCATCAGATCTCCTTCCACCACCTCGAGTTGTTTGAGCCGGCTCTTGAGTCTTTCGATTTCTAGCGTGAGCTCGCCTACTTTGTTGTCTTCATCTGGTCTTCTGTTGTCCTCAATGGAACACTTCCTCTGAATCTCTCTCTTTGTCTCCTCAAGGTCATCCATTCTTATTCTCATACCACCTAGCTTGATATTCAGCTCCCCACACTTTTCCTCCTCACTTACAAGTTTGGCTTTCAACTCATCTTTCTCTTTGACGAGTGTCGTGACTCTGATCTCCATTTCAGATTTGAACTTGAGAAGCTTCTTGCTCTCCTCAATCAGCTTCTCCGTGACCTCTGTGACCTTGCCCTGCTCCGCTTTGAACATCCTACTCAAATCAGCACTTTTCTGTTCTTCCTGTTTGAGTCTCTCCGCCATGTTTTTCCTCTCATCGACTAGAAGGACCGTGAAGGACTTCAGCTTCATCAGGTCGTCTTTGAGGACCATTTCTGCTTTCTCAAACTTGACCTCTGAGCAATCTAAGTCCTTCAACCGAGTTTTCACCACCTCCAGCTCGCCAGCCAGATCCTTCACAACTCGTTTCTCTTTCTCCATGTCTGTGTGAAGTTCAGAGCACTGTGATTTGCTCCTAGTGAACGACCGCTCCAGTTTCTCCAGTTGAGACATCTTCTTCTGCAGTCTGTCCACCTCCAGCCTCATCCCCTTGCTGTGGTTCTCCTCCCCTTGCAGCTTTTTCCTCAGCTCCCTGCACTGAGTCTCCGTTTTGGTTATCTCCTCATCCTTGCACTCCATCTCCAGCACTCTCTTCTGCAGATTCTCCAGCTCGGTCACCAGAGACAAATCCCCGCACTCCCCTCCGCTGATCTTCTGCCTCAGCTCCTGCAGGTCTTCCTCAGCCTTGAGC